CGACGCAAAAGACTTGGGCTCCTTCCCGATCAGGGCAGAAGGGAAAAGAGCCGACGAAGCCGAAGACAAATACAATAAGAGGACTCACCACAAAAATCTCCACCAAGGCGCTGCTGCCTTTCCTACCGTCCCCTCAGCGGCCGCGCCGTCCAAGAGCGTGGCGGCAGAGCGTGCGTCGGACCTCTCAAGGAAGTCGCGAGGAAGCCTCTCACCAAACTTTTCTTCGTCGTACCCTCGAGAAATGCCTTCGTACAACTTCCACGGCATGGGAATGATGTGCGACTTGGCAAGCGTGCACAACTCACCGCATTCTACGATTGTAAAGTCCTTCTTTGGGGCGTTTCCATGCTTTGAGCCCGCAGAATTTATTCTTTCAATCACGTCAAAGCCGCCAATAACTAAGGCGAAGATCTGCGGGGCATAGTCACCTGCAGAGACGTGAATGGCGAAGTTTGGGCTTTCCTTGTTGACGCCGTACGCAATCGACGACAAGGCCCCTCGCCAAGAGCCCGTGCCGAGGTGCTCGGTGGGCAAGTAGTGAGAATTAAACCCGGTGACTTCGTGGGTCATCTCCCGCCCGTCCCCAAAAATCAAACAGTGCCGTGGGACAATGGCGGCCAACTGCATCCCGCGGAAGGAGTCGCCTGTTTCACCGCTCCCTGTGCACCGTCGGTGAAAGTACTCACAGTAGAGGGGGCAGTTCTCGTTGAGAAGCCCAATGACAACCCGGCCAATATCTGCGCCGTTCTCTGCGAAGTCAAAGTAAACTACGCTGCCAATGCGAAGGTCCGCCGGCATGTGAGCCACCCCGCGTATCATGCGTTCGCTGGAGAGTTGAGTTCGGTAGAATACGTAAAGAATGATGAGCAGCAATAAGAAAATGGCCGCCCGAATGGCCATCATGATGATGGCGTACTGCCGCGCATGCTCCTCGCACCACGCCATCATTACCAGCTCCAGGTCCGTCAAGACACGCTCTGGGAGAGGAACTTCTTCTATCAGCGTCAGCGGGAGTCGCTTCACCCGAATCAACGAGTTTCCCTTCGCATCTCGAGCGGTCACTGCATCCCCTGCGGCGATGCTGCTGCCGCCGCCCCCGGCACAAAACAGCACCGAAGAGCTGCAAAACAGTGACTGCTGATGACGAAAAGGGCCGGCCCCCATACGCACTCGCGCCACCGCAGTAATGTGGAGGACGCCAACTTGACGCCCGCCCGCGCACCTCCTCCCAAGGGCAAGCATTTCCCCCGATAAGTACGTCTGATGTCTGCGTACGTATCCACGGGTATGTATGTATATATATATACACCGCCTAAAACTTGTCAAGGTCCGGCTACAAGTGAGCGGGCTAAGCTGGGTGGACAGATACTGCGCACAGCGCCTAAAACCGGTAAAAAAAAAAAAACAGGGAGGGAGGAAGAGACACTCTCCTTTCGCCCTTGTCAAGCCAAGACACCACTGCATCCACAAGAGAGCAGAGGTAAAATGCGTTTCTGTCTCTGGGTAAAAAGAATATGCCTCTGTTGGGGGAACTTAGCCCCGCTCCTCCTCCCCCGCAGCGGGGAAAAGATGAACAAAAACAAGGCGACCGCAGTTCGGCCCGGCGGACGCACGTTCCCACCCCGAACGGGGCCCAGCAAACACCCACACGCCAGCAAAGCGGGTGGCCCGCAGACCAGCCCACGACAAGTGGGCTCTCGTCGTGAGCGCATAAAGTGGCCGTCGTTAGAGCCACGCGACGCGCCATCCGCGCGGAAATGCCCTGCGACCGCACGTGTGCTCAAGGCGTGCCGATTTCGTGGACTTCAAAAATAATACACAAAATACTGCTTCCAGTTGCCGCGCCAAGGCGCGCTGCTCGCCTCTTCAAAGGCGTCAGCCCGAAACGAGACAGTGTCCGTGCAGACACCAATGCGTTGGGGCAAACCCTCGGCGAACGCCGGCAAGGCAAGCAAAACGGCCCGCGCTTCCGCCTGCGTGAGGGAAGGGTTGGGGGGAGCACCGCAGCGGTTCCCCCGGCCCACCTCGACGCCTGCAACAGCCGAAAGCAGCAGCGCACAATAACCGTGTGAATCCGCACCGGCGACGAGGCAAGTCGCCGGGTGCCCGCAATTTTTTTAATGGCGCTCCGCGCACTCCCAGAGGAGTCCGTAAGAGGGACAAGAGAAGAGGCCTCAAACTGCGGCCAGTGTGGGGTGCGTGCGAAGCACACTGCCTGCCTCGCACGCCGTGGAATTGCGCCAGGGGTTTCCAGCCAGCAGTGTCCGGTGCGAGCAGAAAAATGTCTGCAAGCGTGGTCGTAAGCCTCACGTTGGGTGGCGCCAAGCCCCGTCCATTACTGGGCAGTGTAGGGAGCAGCGGTCATCCTTGAATGAAGACCAAGCGCGACCAAGAGGCCGCGGTCGCCGCCTTCCAGCGCGGCGTCCTTGAAACCATCCGGCATTTGACAAAGCAACAGCGGAGACCAGCAAGACCCTCACTCAGCTGTGCAGCCGCGTCTGGTTGCACATTCCCCACACAAGCTCCTAAAAAAAAAATAATGATAAATAAATAAAGACAAAAGTAAAAGAGTAAAACATTTTGGAACGTAAATAAAAATTACTCGCCTTTCGCACTGCAATTTGACCAGTTCATTTAGTTGTTGTTGTTTTTGTTGTTGTTGTTTATTTGCGTTCTTACTTCTTCTTACGGGGGCGGAACATACACACGAAAGCAGTTTACCCTTTTGAGTGCGTGTGTGTGCGCTCTCTGTTTTCTGCGTTTGTTTGCTTTGGCGGAGCGAACAGAATAAAAAAAGAAAAAAAGAAAAAAAGGATCTGCGTACTGGATTTTCACTTACAAAAAAAAAAAAAATGGAGCTTCGCAGGAAAAGTGGGAAGTGCCGCACGGCGTTGGCAGCCCAACGAGGCACAAAAAAAAAAAAAGGAGAATAAAACGT